GGCCTAAGATCACTCTTGTTCAGGCCCTGCAGCCCCTGCTGGGATCACCAGCCCAGGAGGAAGGCTGGGCAGTGGCTGCCAGCCTCTTCCTCTCTCTCTGGAGTTCTCCTCTTTCCTAAGCATGGATTTGCATTTTCCCCTCTGCCCTCCGCTACTCAAGCCCCCAGGGACGAGATGACAGTTAAACCCCCTCTTCCGGCTAGTGGCCCCAGGGCGCGCACTTCCTTCCAGGTATTTTCCGGGATGGGGGGAGGGGTTGAAAGGGTGGCAGTTGATGGGGAAGAAAGAATGAGGAATCCATTTGGGGGTAAACCTAGGGTCTCCCCACACTGGTGTCTGAAGCTGTACCTTATCTTCCGTCAAGTTCTCTCTGCAGCACAAGAGCTCAGTTTGGAGGAAGGAGAGTGCACAGTTAGGAAAAGCAGCATGCAGTCCTTGAGCCGGGCCAGCTAGCTCCCTGAATTCCTACAGGCACAGGCCTTCCTCTGCTGTGGGTCGGGCATGGGTTTCGGGTCCTCTGTCCACGACCCCATCATGCCTGCCCTCCACCCTAGGGGGACTGTCGAGGCTAGGAATGCCAAGGTCTAGAGCGGAGAGGTTTCCTATCTTATTTCTCAGAGGTGGTATCTAGGTGCCAGCAGCCCAGGCAAAGTTTTCTCTGCACTCAGTTCCTGCATTCTGGGACCCTAAAGCAAAGAGAAATACAAGCACCCGAAGGCAAAGGCACTGAGCCAGGCACTGGAGGACACACAGAGTGAGTGGCAGTGACTCCCTCTTGAGGTCAGGCTGACCCCTGACCTTGGGGCTGGGTCCTCTCACCCATAAAGTGAGGGGGCTGACTTAGGTCAGCCCTCGCATCCTCTGCATGGTCTGCCTTCACTCTTTCCACAGCCCCAACTCTCTGGACCTCACCCTCCTGGTGGTGAAGGCCTCTGAGCCCCCAAGGCCCAGGCAGACAGCCGGGCGCTTTCTTCCTCAGTCCGAGCCTTATTGGCTTACCCAACAGCAGTTTTTACCAGTGTGGCCATCTGTTCTCCTAGCTCAGATGAGACTGGAAGGGGGAGAGCCGCACAGGAGCACCAGAAGTGACAGCTGACGGGCTGATATGAATTCAACAGGCAGAAAAAGAATCAGTTTTCCCAGAACCATTTCACCACATGATACAAAAGTGGAAGTTTTATAACAATGACTTAAGCTAAGGAGAGATTAAATCCATCCACAACCTCATATCCAAATAGAAAGGAAGTATATATTAACAAACAAACAAAACTTAGGTCATAAAAAAATGAAATAACAGAAAAAGAGATTATGATTTAAAAAAAGAGATTATGATAAAAAGTCATCGTGTTTTAAGGAAAATGTTTCAGTTTTGATGTATTTGGGTATGATAGATACATTTGAACATCTCTTGCCTAGCAATGCTAGAGGAGTGACATTCTAACCTAGAACTTATCTAGACGGGGACAATTTTGAATAATGACAATCCCTTAGATACACTTAGCAATTTATAGCTCTCAAGTTGCTTTTATCTAAATTGCTGTATTTGATTCTCACAACTATCCTAAGAATTGCCAACTACAGCTTTAAGCGAACTTTTTATTTGAAGTGTAACTGTACAAACAGAAAAGTGAACAAATCGTAAGTGCATAACTCAGTAAATTTTCAGAAACCGAATCAACCTATATAACAAGCATCCAGATCAAAAAATTATAACCTGCACCTCAGGAGCCCCTCATGCCCTCCGCCACCCAACCTGTCACGAGTAACCACTCTCCTGCCACCTAACACCAGAGTTTTGTCAACTGCATTTTATAAAGAGGAAACTTCGTTTTAGAGAAGTCAAGTGACCTAGAAAAGTCAGGGCAAGTGGGTGGTGGAGACAGCAGGGCTGGGAGGCAAGGACACTGGCCCCAGTTCCAGTGGAGCGCGAAGGTGCCGTAACTGTGCAGCAGGTGGAGGAAGGTGTGAGTAGAAAAAGAGGAGAAGCTGGGGAGTACCTGGCACAGGCCAGCGGATACATAAGAGCTGATGGAATGGAAAAGAAGATGCAGCCAGGTGGGAACTGGAGGACTGGACCAGTTTCCCAGCGCTCCACACAGGGACCGTTGAGTAAATCCCAAGTCTCTCCTCCCTGGACCATTTCCCCACGCTGCCTCCCTGTCTCTGGCTAACTTTAGATCTGAGGACTAGAGATGTAGGTGGTGGGAACAGGGTGGTTGGGGGCGCTCAATGCGTAGGGACATGTAACTTTCTAGTTCTGCGGAAAAATCACAAAGGGAGCAAACCTGCTGTGTTCGGGGAGGACGACACCAGAGCGCAGGCTAAACTGGGTGTGGGCGATGCGTTTCTTGAGCTAAGGCCCCACTGCTTGGTCATGGCCAGGTCACTTTAACTCTGAGCCTCAGTCTCTTCATCATTGTATAAGGGTGTTAGCTGTGACACAGGGGTTTTGTGGGGGGTCAGATAAAAGAATGGATGTGAAAGCCCTTTTGTCAACTGGTAAAATGCTATTTAAATGAAAGGCTTTACTGATACTAAATATGAACCAGACAAAGTGAGATATTATTAGTCTGTTCTTAAACCTCACCTACCTGTCTGTTACACACACACACACACACACACACACACACACACACACACACACACACACACACACACACACACACACGTGTCAGTGAGGGGACTTGAGGACTGAACAGCAGGTTACAAACAGGCTGGGAATAAGGAGGTAATGGCCATGCCCAGAGGAGTAAGGCCCCAGCCCCGCAAGCATGAAGAGCCCAGGCTGAGTTTAGGCCCTTACCAGCCCAGCCCATTACTCTGGGAAACTGCTCTCTCCAAGACCAGAAGGTTCTAACCCTTGCTCTGTCAGCTATCAATGCCTGCTTTGGGCTGGAGGCTGCATTCAGCACTGCACTGTCACTTTGCCCCTAAGCACGCAGCCCGTGGCGGGTAGGGGGTGGAGGGTGAGGAAAAGACAGGCCAGGGGAAGGCAGCCAGGTCACAGCTGTTTCTCATCTGACTCGAGTCTGTCCCTTGTTGAACTAGGGAGGAGCCTCGACTTTCTGAAGGAGAAGGCAGCCTGCCGCGCGAGAGCCCGGGCCCTTGGGGTAGACATGGGACCTCAGCAGTCCGAATGGGGCTGGGCTTGGACAGGCACCAGGGGCAGCAGACCAGCGCCTGGAACCTCCCTTCCACAAAGCAGGCTCTCTTCCAGGCGGTGAACCGACGACCCGTTTCAGCCTCGTTGGCTCCCAACAGGGGATGCAACTCCTGCACCTTACTGCCTGTCTGGGCTGCTGAGGGGGCGCCACAAGCGGGTTCGAGGACTAGAGAGAGCGAGAAAGCGAACTGAGCGGCCGCTGCCAGGCAGGGCCCGCGGGAGCCTGTGAAGTCCGGTCGCTGCAGCTGGCCGCCCCTCCCCCAGCCCCAGCGCGGCTGCCTTTCGCTTCCTGCAGGGCTGACAGTTAGGGCCCCAGCCCGGCGCGGGGCTGAGGCAGCGTGAGTGTGGTTATTCGTGCCGGCTCCTCTTGCCTCCCCTCCCCACAACTGTTTCCATTCTCACCAGGCAGCCACGTCCGGGTCAGACACGCAGGACAGCAGCTGGGGATTTCCAAGGGACTTTTCGAGAAAGCCAGTGAAAGTTGGGCGTTGGCTGCGTGGCCTCGGCACTCTTGCTAAACGCCGCTTCTTCCCCTCTGGATGTAAGCTCTGGCCTGGTGGCGCTGCTTCCCAAGGCTCCTTTCACACTGAACTTGAACAATGCAAACCACCCACTCCCCCCAAGGCTTGTTCAGTTGGCTGGGCTGGGGAGGTCCTTGAAAACCCCCATTGGAATTGGGTTAACAGACCGCTCCCTGAGTTTTAAGGTGGCAGAGAAAACGGTTCTGGTTTGAGGAGGACCCGTGAGTGGCGACTTGAGCAGCCCGGGCCAGTCCCAGTTTCCTTCTCATGGGCCTCAGAGGACAAGGGACGGGGTGGGGGACAGCTGACTGAAGAGTCAGCATCTCTCCCTCCTTCCCACACACTCCAGGTCACAGGTGACAAGAGACACTGACTCACTAGCAACACCAGGTGGCTACGAGACACAAAGCCCCAGCGCAGGCACACTGCTGAGTCAGAGCTCAGACTGCGTGGCAGCTCTAAGCACTTCCCGCACTGTTTTGGCTGACTGTATACATACTGCACATACTGAGGAATGGCTAATAAACGGAGAGCAAGTGGGTTTTACCTTTTATAAAAGGTAAGCTACAAAATTCTCACATTGCTTTCATTATCACCATCACAAAAATCCTGAGGTAAACAGAGTGTAATCATTTTCGCTTCACAGATGGGGAACAAGAAACTTCGGGGAATAAAAATGGGGACACTGAACAGGATTTTTTGTGGAAATTTAAGTAAATGAGAATTTGTGGTAAATATTTTAATTCCAAAAATAACTTGCCTTGGCCAATAACAGGACATCACTCAAGGCCCGCTACGAGGCCAGAGAGAAAAGGAGAGGCTCACCTCCAATGGAGGCAAAAACCAGCCGGACCAAGACCCAGCAGCAACCTGAGGGTCCAGAGTTAGGGGAACGCAGGGGAGCAGAGGAAGGGGAGGTCGTGGCTGCCACTGGTGGGCCTCAGGCACAGGAAGAACAGTGAAAAGAAGAAAACAAAAAGGAAAAAGGTATTAAACGTGGCCAAGGGGTAAATACTATAAAGAAGCCTCAGGACTTCTTCAAGGGACACCAGCTGTGCCAGGTCTAGAGCGTAGAAGGCTGCAACCACCAGACACCAGGACCACCAGGCTGACGGGGCTGCCTAGACGCGGGACAGCAGACCTTCCGAGACCCGAGGAAGCACAATGGAAAGGCTCCAACCTGGAGCCTCAGAGGTGGATCATGAGGAGCAGAAAAGCCTCTGCTGCCCTGGAGAGACGTTTACAGGGCAGTGAGTTCTTACTGTGCCCAGCTAAGAGAAAGGAAGAGGGAGGCAAGGCAGTGCTTTGGGCTTAAGAACATTCCTAGGGGTCCATGTTTATTGGCATTTGACTCAGAGTCCTGCCCGTGGGCAAGGGCGCAGCCCTGGGCTGTGTGTAGGAAAACCAGCATCCTACTCCCCACTGAATTCAGTCTCTGTAAATCCACCAACCCAAACTGCTCCCACCCCCACAGTAGTCCAAAGAAGGTAAAATGGCCCAAGGACACATTGTGCTGCTTTCTCAACAGTCTGCTGAGTCCCAGAATCAGAGGGTGGGACGCATGTGAAGGTTCTGCTCGTTTAGTTCCACAACAAAAAATAAGCAGAGGCAGAGATGAGGAGCAAACATGTTGGCAGCTGTGCATCTCGCTAAGTCTTTATAGCTGTGTCTCTGGATTTGTAGGCCACTCCTCGACTCTTCAGCTCCCGCACAATTCCTGCAGCAGGAAAAGAAACAGCCCTGTGAGGGGACAAGATTCCAGAAGATATGAAAGTTCCCTTGGCTACCACTTGGTGGGGTGGGGGTGGGGGTGCTCTAGGCAAACTGGAGTTTCTAGACTGCTCAACAAAACTGCTTGGTTGGCTTCTTACCCCTGAAAATCCAGGCAAGTGCCTGGAAATGACTTGGTAAGAATGAGAAGAAAAGGACAGACACGCTATAGTCGTCAAAAACAAGGGTTCCAGAGCCAGAATGCCTAGGTCCAAATTCTGGCTCCTCACTTACTGGCTGGGTGACCTTGGGCAAGTTATTTACCCTCTCTGTGCTTTGGTTCTCTCATAGAGTTCTGAGGACTGGCGTTAAGTCACGTGAAAACCTTCCATAGAGCTTGGCAGAGTAAATGAACGTTGGCTGTAACTATGATTATTATTACCTTGGGGCAAGCGACCAGTGACTGACACTGCATACACACCAGGCTTAAAGTTACCTGAAAGAGAAGAAAAGTGACTGCAGTCAGAGTGAGTTATGACTAAAGACCAACGGAGCATAAGCTAAAAATGAAAGAACCACTGCAACTCCAACAGAAGAGCAATCACTCCTTTTGGCTACATGTGTTAATGACAGGGCACAGGACACTTTCCCTGGCTTTCCTCCAACACCATCTTTCTCACTCTGGGGCCACTTACCCACTGATTTAAGACATCCCCACTGGACCCGACAACATAACTAGGCCAGGATGAGGAGAAAGGGAGACACTTACTGACTCGCTGCCACTTGGAGACCCAGCTGTCCTCTGGACTCATCATCGCAATGATTCTAGGAAGGGAGAAGAAACAGAGTCAACCTGAGCCACCTCTACTAGAGAACAGAGACTGAGGGAATGGTCCTCTTTACTCTGTTCCTGGCCAGCACAACAGTTCTGGGAGAGGACACCTAGGAAAAAGCCAAGTACTGCGTCTCTACTGGAAAGTAGGGGAAACTGAGTTCAAACGCTGGGAAGCAACTGACTCAGAGCTAGTACTGATAAAAGTCCTTTGCACTTACATCCTTGGCCCACCAGTCACAGGCTAAGTCAGTCATCATCCCCCAGATATTACCCTACCAGGCTCAAAAGTATCCTTGGCCTACAGAGTCCCTGGGAAATGGAACAGCTTTTGAGGTAGATGGTCAGCGTTACTGATTACAACCAACATGCCACTGAGGACTGGGGCCTTGGGCAAAGGGGAGAGGGAGTCGAAACAATGGAGTAAGTTAGACTTAACTAAGCTCTGTCTCTAATGAGCTGTATAGCCTGACACACATAGGGAGATCTCCCTCAGAATTTCATTTGAGGGAAAGTTGAGCTAATAAATGAAAAACACCTAGCATCCAGTAGGTGCTAAATAAATGTTAGCTCTCCTTATTACCCTAACAGTTCTTTCTAGGGTAGCTCTGATCCCAGAGCACAGGCAACAGAAAGGATACTCCAGGGCCAGAAGCCTGCTAGTGAGCATGACAAAAAGCATCAGGTGTTTTCAGAAGCTACAGGTCATTTTTGTCATTCACCCATTCAATCAAACGTTTACAGGCTGTCTATTGTGACAGATCTGTTCTAGGCACTGATACTTGTTGACTGTATCCTCAATATCCATTCCCCCTCCTCCTGCAGCAACTTTAAGATTATCTGGGAAGCTTCCTTCCCCAACCAAATCCTACATTCTCAGCCATATGCTTTGAGTGGAATGATGCCACCTCCAGGGGCAGCAGGTAAAGTAACACTTGCCTTACCCCAGCAGACTAATCTGGGATAGACACGCTTACTGGCCACTCTCCTGGCCAAAAGTATATTCTCCTCCATCCTTCACAATCTATCATTCCAGCCTTACAGTGCTTGTTATCCAACCATGATTTAACCTGAACAGAATTCCCACCAGTGTCCAAACACACCTTTGTTTTCCGACCCCATGCCTTTGCTCAAGTCAGTCCCTTTATTTAGAATGCTTCTTCTACGTCTCTCACCTCAAGTTCCTCAAAAATCCTATGCTTCTTTAAGAGCCTGATTCATATGCTATCTCTTCCATTTCTGAGTTCATCAAGCCCTGCTCTGATCTCCTTTAACCTTTAATATACTCACTCTTCAAAACTCAATATGCACCGAATACATAAATAACTCCTACAACTCAACAACAAAAAACCACAAACCTGACTCAAAATTGGGCAAAGGACTTGAAGACACATTTTGTCAAAGAGGATATACATATGGCCAATAAGCACATGATAAGATGCTCAACATCATTTATTATTAGGGAAATGCAAATCAAAACCACAAGGAGATACCATTTCACATCCAACAGGGTAGCTATGATCAAAAGCAAAACAAAACATCAGAAAATAACAAGTGTTGGCAAGAATGTGGAGAAACTGGAACCCTCGTGCACTGCAGGTGGGAACATAAAATGGCGCTGCCATACAATACAGTGTGGCAGTTCCTCAAAATGTTGAGCACAGAAAAATCCAGCAATTTCACTTCTGGATACCTACCACAAAGAAGTAAAAACAGGAACCTGAACAGGTATTTGTAAACTCTGTTCATGGCACCATTATTCATAATAGCTAAAAGGCGGAAGCAATCCAAGTGTCCATCAACAGATGTGCAGATAAATAAAATGTGGTATATACATAAAATGGAGTGTTATTAAGCTTAAAAAGGAAATTCTGACAGATGCCACAACATGGATAAACCTTGAAAAAGTTACGCAAGGTGAAATGAGCCAATCACAAAAAGACAGATATTATATGATTCCACTTATATGAAGGACCAGCAATCAAATTCACAGCGTAAATGGTGGTTGCCAGGGGCTGGGGAGAGCAGGAAATGAAAAGATGAAAAAAGTTCTGGAGATGGATGGTGGCAATAGTTGCACAGAAATATAAATACATTTAATGCCACTGATTTTACACTTAAAATGATTTTAAAAACGATGCATATTTTACAATTAAAAAAACACACTCAAACTCCACACCATGTCTCTCTTACTAGTTAAGGATCTCACTGTGTAACTCCTGACATCTCTCACAGCAGCCACAGAAGTGACTCTGCTCATTCCTTAGCACTGAATGCTACAGTGTTAACGAAAGAAACTGGTGTATCTGAGTGTGCACGTGCATATGTATGAAGAAACGTTCCATAACAACATCTTTTTTGCCCAATCCTTTATTCTCCGTTAAAGGCAAACAAAGGAGGAATGGAGTTGGCCCACTGTGAAGGAACTTTACCAAGTACTGGTTTGGGCCCAGCTTGCTAAATGTTTAATTGGCCTAGAGACCAAAAGAAAATAAATAGTACCTCCTTAACCCCCAAAGAATACTTCCCTCTGGCTCCTTCCTTAGGGGGAGGAAAATTGAGACCTAGCCACTTAGGTGTCTGTCATTTCCCCTTCTCCCCACTGGACAATCTCATTAAGGGAAAACTCTACTCATAGGGCCTCTCAGAGATATCTAAAAGCATCAGCTTTGGAGCCCAAATTTACCCCTTCATTTTGAAAAAGGATCTTCATGCATTTAACAAACATTTACTAGGCATCCACCACCCTCCAGGCCCTGTGCCAGGTCATGGCACATATGTCCCTACCAGCAATGCCCTGACAGTCCAGTGAAGAACTGTCCAGTGGAAGTATAATAAAAGCCACACAAGTCATTTTAAATTTTCTGTAGCCAAGTTAAAGGAGTAAAGACAAAAACATGAAATTCACTTCAATATACTGCACTTAACCCAATCTATTCAAAGTACTAACATTGTGGCATGTAATTAACACAAAAATATTAAGATATTTTACATTCATTTTCTTTGTGCTGAGTCTTTGAGATCCAATGTATATTTTACATGTAAAGCATATCTCAGTTTGGACCAGCCACAGTTCAAGTGCTCAATGCCATACATGGCTAGTATCTACTGCACTGGACAGCATAGGACTAGTGTGTCTCAAAATAACTTTGACACCAACTAGGATTAGTGTCTCAAGAGTCTACCCACATTTACTTGGTGGGGTGGGGCAAGGGGTAATGGAGAAGAATGAATGCAGCAATCTAAAGGGGTTTACCCATCAAAAGAAGAGCTGGTGCAGTCATATACCATCTCTCGGTTACCCTTCATTTGAAGGTATGCATCACAATTGTCACAACCATCATATTCAAACTGGTCTATAGTCTGGGAGGGGAGAAAAAAAAGAGGTGAGTGTGAACAAAGTCAAAAGAAAAAAGCAGTTTTCTCCATACTTTTAACTGGTCAAGTACAAGGCTCCCTACGTTGGCTCTGTCTCATTAGGTCCCCCACCAACCATTCCCCGTTCCTAAGTTCCACTCTCAGACTCCTTCCCTTGTTCCCAGTTGCGTTTAACCTATTCCTTTCCCTAATCCCCTCGGGGTCAGACACCTTCGACTACTCCCGCAGCTGCAGATCTCCACCCTCCTCTGACTCCCAGTATCTTCTGCCTCCAAAAGAAGTTCACTGAACGTCTGTTAAGGGTCAGGCCTGTGATGCGAGCTGAAACTGCAAAGGCATGTGAGACTGCCAGTGCTCACGGCTGCGAGATCTGCCTGCGTTCCTACCGACGTAAACGATGGCTTCCAGTTTCTTCCCTCGTCCCCGGCCACCCCCGGACGTGGACCTGACTTTTCTTTACACTGTCCTTCCAGCCCTGTTCCACCCTGTTTCCCTCAGCTTGGGCCCCCATCGCCCGTACAACCAGGTCCCCCACAGACACCTTGACCAGCGAACACAGCAAACAAGCCCGCAGATGCCGCAGGTCCTTCGGCACCGTCTCCAAAGCCATCTTCTCCCACGGAAGAACAGGGAGGGAATGAGCCACAGCCGCCTCTTGCAGGAAGTAAACAGCGAATTACCCAGAATGCCCGCACTTCCGGCTACTCAGACTTCCTCTTCCGGCGTGGGAGG